TCGGAGACATCAGTTCCTGTTTGCTGTCAAGCTCCTGATTTCGTTCTCTCGATCATATGGTTATAAATGGTTATCTCCTTAGTTCATGCTGATGCGGGGGGAGCTGCACTGATGCTTCTTGTCCAGATTCGTAATTTGCCCACAAGTTGCAAGCAGATGTTGCCCCTTGGCTGGGAGGGGGCACTGGTGTTCTCAAGCACACTGCCCCATCTTCACATTGTCAAGAATGTGGGGTTAGGGGGCACCTCAAGTCTCAAACACTAATTCTGTCTTTCCTTTTGTCTATAAGCCCCAGTGCCTCTGTCCCTCCGAATCAGTGGCACTTGTTTGTGTCCTGTTTATCTGTTTTGCAATTTTTCGTTGGTGGCAGAAGGGGGGAGGTGGGAGAAACCGGGAATCCTGATCAGGGGTCCTTAAGCCTAATGGACGGAAGCGTGAGTGTGTCAGGGTTGCATTGAATGTATTCATTCCGATGACTTGCCGGGGCACTGACTTCCCCCCAGAAATAAAATGAAATAAAATAAAATAAATGATTACGAGGAAAAAAACAGAAAAAAAGAAAATGCAGGAGCTGCTCTCTTAGCGCATTTCAGATAAGTTTTTATAAAAACAGGAAATGAACAGCTGTCCCTCTTTGAGAAAACCTTGCAAATGAGTGAACCCCCCAGTTTCTTGGAGATGTCAATTCTGGTGACACAACCTTATCTTCTAAATTTGTCAGATGAGACTGAGTGCCTCTCTCCACTACTCCTCACATGCGCAAAAGACAAAAAAGTTGAAAAACTATGGCGGTGCATCTGTCCATGCTCTAGCGGAAGATTCATTCTCATTTTGCACATTTGGTGCAAGTAGTGGAGCAATGCCCTGAATGCCCTGTGCATGGAGTGTGATGGCAAAGTGCTCGGTAGGAGTCAGCGCCATCATTAAATGGATGGATGAAAGAATGCGCGGATCATTGGTGGCTTATTTCCTCTGTTCTACTTTTGAGCATTGTTAGCAATTTCTTCGGGATAATGTTTGTTTTTATCTTCTCCCGCGTTCAGGCCCTCGTCTTCTGACATCTGTGATTAATGTGGTGATTGTGTGATGGATTTTGATGTTACAGAGTGGGAGACCCATTCAAAGACACAGCGGGCCCGTCCCTTCATGTTCTGATTAAGATGCTGGCGACCATCACGCTCGTCATGGCTCCATTATTCCTGGACGGCTAATCGGTCAGGCAGGAAGAGAAATACCATGAATGTCATTTTTTTCCTGATTTCGCTGCTGTCATTTCTCTGAAGGGTCGGCGGGGGGATCCCTTTGCCGGGGATTTGCCCGCAATTTCTCATCAGGGATCTTTTTTGCAGTGCTTTCCTACTATGGACTTTGTGTTGAGAAAACGTGTCTTTCCTACTTCCGAGCCTGCAAGCAAGAATGAAGGATTTCCCTTGTTACCTGTTTGGGCCATCATCAAAGCAGGTAAAGAGTGAGTTTCCTAAGGGGGCATGAGTGCAAGAGCTGAAAGTCGCAGATGTTGGCAACAATGGATGGGAGCAATGGATGATGGATGGAGACGGCATGTGAAAATGGTAGAGGCGAGTTTTTGCCAAAAGGGGAAAGCAACCAATGCTCCAGCGAGGCTCTTGGTTGTAGAATTTTTGCCAAAAAGGGAAGCAACCAGTTCTCCAGCATCCTGTTGTGGAAGTTCTGGCTGTTGGTCAGAAGCTCGCTGCATGAGTTTTCTGGATATGGGGCAGAGAAAATACCCGCTCAGGACATACTCACATTGGCACAATCTTAAATGTATCCGACCGTAATTATGTCGCTAGTTGGATGTATCTGACCGCAATTACGTCGAGAAATAAGTAAAAAGAATCGTATTGTGAGTATGCCCTCAGTTTCCCAAATTCTTCAGGTGAGTCCATGTTGGTGAGCGTTGGGTTGTGGTTACTTTTTTTTGTTTCAATGCCCGGCGCTAGGAAAGGGGGTGGTGAGCAGAGCACAGCACAATCGAGGTTGCTGCAGGCAGATTTGTTGTGTCAGAAAGACTAGGGCAGGGGGATGCAACTGCATCTTCCTCTCCGAGTTTGATAGATTGACGTGTGGATGTGTGAGTCCACCTTGTCTATCGACAGTGTGGTGGGATGACAGTTTGTGTAAAAATAGTGAGTATTAGTGTGTGCACGTGCACACACACACACACACACACACACACACACACACACACACACACACACACACACTCACACACACACAGACACACACACACACACACAGAGAGAGAGAGAGAGAGAGAGAGAGAGAGGATAGTGTCCATGAGTGAGGGGGGTGTATTCTCAAAGTGGTCATGAGACACTGGTTGGCGGAGCTGGAAGCAGGAGGCGATCATCGAGATCAAGAGAACAGCCAGCTGTTAGAGTGCTTGTTATCAAGGGATTGAGGGAAGTGCATCACCTCAAGAAAAGGTTGCAAGGAGATGGGTGAGAAAGAGGGAGGGCGAGGGTGCTGCTTTGTTGTTCAGAGGCTCCTATCCTTTTGTGCGAGCTTGGCAAGGAGTCATGGCTGGGTGTAACTCCTACAGTGTAGAATCCTCCGAAGTAATTCTTGGGAACTTGTCGTCCTTGGGGGTCATGGTATTATCCGCATGCTGGAGCCTGCAATGCGTGACATGGACATGATGGATTGTCCCATGCGCCCCATGTGGGAATGCCTTTTGTGGGAGGCGGGAGCGGCATTGCTCGTCCTTCCATGCATGCGGTGTGACACGTGTATTTGTCAGAGCATAACCCTGATACCATTTCCCCCATCCCCATTGTTTTTTTCTTTTCCCATCCCTATCTATCACCTCCCAGAAAGGTGTTTTGTGGGCCTATCGCCGAAGGTGTTCCGTTTGGCCATCCATCGGCAAGGCTTCGTGTGCAAGTTTTGGTGCACATACCATTTTTCATGGCATCTAGGTCAAAGGAAGCCTGGCCAGCCACTCCTCTGCGACTGAGACCCCCCCCCCCGCCCGCCCCCCGACTGACTCATTGCCTGTATTGACGAGTCTCTCCAAAATTCGTGGGGCAGCTGGTCCCTGTGTGGCCATCCTCCATGTTTCGGAAGCAATGCCCCAACCCTCTCTTGTATGTTTTCACTAATGTGTCCCTCCTGTCGGCCTATTCTTTTTGTTTTGTCTCTGAGTTGCCAGCTCTACAAAGCGACGGTGAGGCCCTAGACTCTGAGGGATATACCTGTAGCTTTAGAGTTCTGCCACCCTTGCAGCGGTGGTGGGAAAAGTCCCCATGAGTTCCATGAGTGTTTTTTTTTAAGACACTAAAAGGTGGTTCTATGCTGGCTGCTTCCAGAGTCCAGCGGTATGTTTGCCTGCAGGTTTCAGCGCCATAGGGGACGAAATGGAAGATTACTCCTGTATTTCAACTCCTTATGCGGCCAAAGTCTAGGCGCAAAGGCATTGAAGTAGTGTTCATGATGAATTGCATGAAGAGAGGAGTTGCTGCACGTGTTCACTTTGGCCTGCAGGTCTCAGAACCATAAGGAACGAAATGGAAGATTTCTGGGTTCGGCGTTCTGCTAAAGTTCTGTCTCCTTTGCAGTTGCAAATGCCAACGGCTCACCTTTCACTCCATCCGTCTCTCTGCCTCTACCTCCTGTAGTTGTCTTCTCCTTTTTTTTTGGTCAGTTTCTTTTTTTTTTTTTTGTTACCATTAGTCTTCTCTCGGCTTCTCTCTTGCAGGAGATGATGAACAAGGCACTCTAGTACCTCCACCAGTGTTGGGAAAATAAGGAAAACTGGGAGCAGTTTTTCCCGTACTCCAAAAAAATTGGGGGCAGGGCCCGACGATGGCCGCTGTTGATAAATCTCATCGGAGGCTGTCATTTTGTTTCGGTCTCCTAAAAGACTGGAGGCCCACCCGAGGCCTCCCTATTTTCCCAACTGGCGGAGGTACTAGTGGTTAAAAAAAAAACAAAAGAAGGCACGCATCAGTTGATGGTTTGGTTGGATACATTGCAAGAACACCAATACCCCTGAGCCTAATTTTCTTGATGCTCAAATTTGCCCACCAGTGTGTCTTTGGGACCGACCACACCGACACATTGAAGCACAGTTGAGATGCAAGTCAAAGACCGTATCAGGCAAGTAACTCAATTACGCAAGATGTCTTCACACAAGGAGCAGCTATGGCTGCCTGCAAGATCTCTGAGGTATGGTCGCTCTCTCTTCAGCCTCACTCCTCTGTCCTAACCAAGGTCTCCCTCGCTGAATACCTTTGACGTTTGCTATGCTATCCCTCGCCACCTCGCTCCGGCAATGGCTGATCC